GAGAAATCCCATTGGCTCTGAGACGAGGGAACCGGTAGTGATGAAATGCTAACTCACTTCCGGGTCTTAGGACTCGTCACTGCACCACTCTATAATCAGAACTGAAGGAATCATCAGCTGCAGCAGCATGAGGAGATCAGGTGTGAGTTTAGTGAGAAGAGGAAAGTAAAGTTCTGTTAGAGAAAGTGTGGGTTCAGTTTGTCGTCTCTTTGCGTGCAGGGCGAGCCTCAGTGAGGACTCACCTGGACATTGAGGCACGGGATGGGGGCCGGCCCCTTCTAGCCCTTCCTCTGGGGAACGGTGGGGTGAGGCCTCTGTTCATTGTGACCCCTGACCTTGCCCTTTGACCCCTGTGACCCCTCTGTTGATGACCGCCTCCCCTCCTGGGACTGCGGACACACAGAGGGGACGAACGGAGCCCGTCAGGTTGCACAGGCACTGATCTGGGGCCACTCGGAATCACAAACAGCCCATTAAAAGAGAGGAGTTTGGTGACCCCAGATTCATGCCTGTGAGCAACCTGTACCTGAAGCAGGCGTGGGTCAGAGAATCACTGAGAGATTAAGGTGTTAGAAAGTCAAAGAAGGAGAAGGCGTGCACAGAGATCAGCATGCAGCTAGTAGAGAAGATGAAGCAGAGGACTAAAGCGAGATGGAGAGAGTTTGATGGGCAGTACCCTGAAGGACGTGGCCCCTCGGCTGGGCGGCATGAGGAAGTCGGGCCTGGTGAATCCGCTGCTGCTGGTTCCTCCGGAGCTGTGCTGCAGCAGGCTGGAGGCTTTAGACGACAGAGAGCTGATGTCCCCGAGGTCACCGGAGGTCATGGAGCTGCCGCCGGTGCGACACGGGGAAATATCGCCGTCCAACACCTGGCAGTCCACCACTGGCTCCTCGCTCTCCTGGTAACAAAACAAAACACTCACTTTGAAGTCAAATACATGCTTTGGTGGGTGGTCAGCATCCTGTTCAGCACCTAACATCCAATATTCTGACACATGGGATCATGATATGATTTTTTTGTGTAATGAAAAGCTGCCTTTGCATCATCTTAAAAAGGACTTTACATCCTTCTTTCCAATCTTTTTCCAAAACTGCCAGATCCTGGTCATGTTAATGTTATGGCAGCAGTATATGTTTTCACTGCGAGGGGGACCCAAGTTCCCATCAGCAAAAACACGTGGGTTTGCTATCCTGGCTCCAAAATGGTGGAATGAGCTCCCCATTACTGATTATTATTAGCGATAGAATTACTGACAAAGCACTTATATACTAATAAAGGACTGGCTTATCTAAAGCCAGTTGAGTAGCACTTGAAATGTTTTAGCTCTATGAAACCTGATATGATTCTGTTTTCTTCAAGTTTGTGTCTTCTTGGTCGAACGCACTTATTGTAAGTCGCTTTGGATAAAAGCGTCAGCTAAATGTAATGTAGTATAGACATCCCAGCATAGCTGTTTTGGCCCCTTCAAGGCAGCGGCAACAAGCTGTGAATAAGATTTTATTACATTTTTTTTATTTGAGTGTGCCTAACTTTTACAATATTTTAATTCGCACCGGTTTCTGGATGAAAAGGGTTCGCAGATGATAGATACCATTATTCAGTATGGTAAGATACTTATTATAAAGCTCATAAAGAATGTTGGATTTCTCTCTGTTTTAGCCCAGTTTTTGGTCTTCACCACCTCATGAGGGTTGTTTACCAGGCCCTAACTGGGTCTATCTGTTGTACCTGCTGATTGGGTAGTGTTCAGTGGCTGTTCAAAGCTCTTAAAACAACACTACGACGGGGGTGAGAGGGAACAGAAAAGTAAAGTTGTGCACTAAGTTGAAACGGTATAAAGCTCCATCAAAAAAGCAGTGAACTAATCCTTTATAACATAATTAAACTGTACAGGTGAAGACATTAGAAATGAGAAATATATTGGGTACCTCTGTGACTTTGCGGTCCACCTCTTTGCCGTCCTCGTAATACACGTCTGTGATGATGCGTGTGACGGTGGTCCGCACTTCCTGGATGGTGCGCATATGTCTGCGGTGTGCGGGGGCTGCGGTTCTTCTAAAGGACGGAGACTCGGGCTCACCCTTGATAACAAAAACATAAAAAGTTACTGGGGCAATATTTGACACAAGCTGAAAAAAAGTTATGATAACAACTAAAAGTACATACCCTGTTGGCTGGGGAGCGCAGCCCCGGAGCCTCGGAGGTCTGCTGGGAGACTGTCCTCTGACGGATCTGAGACACAGAGCGGAGGGATCAACACCTCCACATCTTCACACTCTACATCTTCACACTGCACCTCCACACCCCATGCAAGCACTTACTTGTGTTTGTCAAAAAGAAAACACTTCAGCATTTGTATTAACATTTGAATTGGTTTAATATTATTAACAAGCTGCAGAAATCTGTAGCATAACCTTTACATTATGCATTATTTGAAGTGAATAATAAGCAACGGACCTTGTTGGACGGACTGGAGGTGACGGTGCTGTCGGAGGGGGCCCTCTGCCGGGCCTCTGTCCTGTTGGGGGTGGGGGGCTCTGCAGCTTGATGCGGCCCTAGCCTGTTTGCAGAGCGCTCTGCAGGACCTTTACGGGTCTCCTGCGATGCTGCCAAAATGTCCTGTTGTGAAGGTTCTGATTGGCTGTTGGGGAGGCTGTTGCATCCCAGCGAGGAGGCCTGGGAGCTCCTCTGCGGTGAGGAGAACAGATCTCCTCTGTGAACAGCAACAAATGAGATGCTGTGGGACATCTGGCAGGCAGCCAACACAAATATGGTGCCAACATGACCATCCACTGGAATTAAAAATGGAACTAAAAAAGCAGAAGCCATGGAAATAAATCTACATATTTTAAAGTGGCCCTATTATGCTAATGTTTAGGTCCATATTTGTATTGTATTTGCCTCTACTGTCTACTTTGCTGCAGCACCTTAAAACCCTAAGAAGCACTTTAGGGCCTATAATTAGATAACATAATGTGATTTTGTTTACAAACTAAAGGATAAAAGAGAACACAACCGCAGAAAACATTTTGTAAAACAACCTCACTTTGTCAAAGCTTGAGGACAAAGCTATTCCTCTTCTCGAGAGAATATGCAAAAAATAACCTTCCCACCTCCACACTCCAAAAGTAGGTCACACACACACACACACACACACACACACACACCACACACACACACACACACACACACACACACACACACACACACACAACACAACACAACACACACACACACACACACACACACACACACACACACACACACCACACACACACACACACACACACACACACACACACACACACACACACACACACACACACACACACACACACACACACACACACACACACACACACACACACACACACACCACACACACACACACAGCTATATTCTCCTCACGTACACATAGACATGCTGGCAGGGAGACTAAGAGGGAAAAAGGGCAGAGCAAACAATATTTACAGAGTAATGGAGGCAGATGCATCATGAGTGGGCGGTAATATAATGTTGTTGCAGTGTCAGCAAGTGTGAAGTTGCTGTGTCTCGATACATACTACATTATTAATTTACAACTCAGGTCATGTTATTTTTGTGATTTCTCTATATTCTATATATGTTTTTCTCTTTGTCGTGGATTTCAGTAACAATGCTTTACCGACTGAAACGCTGACCAGGAGTTTCTCTCACACCCTGCACATGCTTATATTACATTGATCTGTGTCTCCATTGATTTGCGCCTGAGAAGGGCTCAAATATACAGCCAGTCACAGAACTGTGTTTAGAAAAGAAGCCAAAGCTATTCCTCTCCTCGAGAGGATATGCAAAAAATAACCATCCCACCTCCAAAAGACACACACACACACACACACACACACACACACACACACACACACACACACACACACACACACACACACACACACACACACACACACACACACACACACACCACACACACACACACACACACACACACACACACACACACACACACACACACACACACACACACACACACACGACCTATTTCTGTCTACTGAAATACATTACAACAGGGGAAAGCTATTCTTACTTCCTTCTTAGGTTAAAGGGACATGTGGAGCTGGAGATTTTCTTTGTTATCTATATATTTCAAATCTATATTGAAAGCTTACAAAACGCTGGTGTGATCATATAGCAAGTCCCCCCCCCCCCGGTGCCTTCATGTCTTACAGTCTGTCCGGCAGTGCCAGAAGGTACTTTATAGAATTAAAATGGGAAAACTTTAAAACGTTTTTTCACAGATGCAACATGTGTTCTTACCTGACAGGTGTGCTGTTGCCCCCCCCCTGGCTCTCCTCTCTTGCGTCCTGCTGTCTGTGAACCTGCCGGACACGACTGAACACTGACGGGCTGCAGGGACACCAAACAGCAGGGTTACACTCTTATTCTTACAACCAGCACCAACAACTGCTCGCAAAGCGGGATCATGACTCACTGATGAAACAGTGTAAACTCTAATAAGCTGATAAAATGTTTGATGATGAAGAGTTTCTTCTAATTGTCTTTATTTTGTATTGTTTACATTTTTTTAAATTATTATTATTTATTTACTTTTACCAAGTTGGCCCTCCATTGTACACATTGCATGTTATTTATAGATATTCTGTACCCTATTTGACTTTTTTGAAATCAGGTATGTAGCATGAGCGCATGAACCATTTGTGCTAAGGTCTTTTAACCTTTTTTCTGTTTGTCTTGAGTTATGTTTCAATTGTTAAAGCACGTTGAGCACTGTATAAATAAAGCTTTATTATTAACATTATTACATTTCTGCCAACAGATTCTTATAACTGCAATAGCATTACAGTAAGCTGCAGTCGGACAAATTTGCCGGTAATAATCTTCATGTTGATATGACACATGGGCTCTAAACATTTAATTGCCTCCCTCCACCAGGGCACCATCGGTTGGACCATAAATGATCATCCATAGATCTAAATCAGTGTTAGAGTTTATTGAAGGATAAAAGTGTTTTCATAAACTGTGTTTTCATAATGTATTCTCATTGCTGTGTTACAAGGAGTGTTAATGGAGGAACAAAGAAGAGTCTGTTTAAAATGGCACACATACACACACACACAGATTCACATGACTGACAGTCACAAGATCCACACTAACAAATAAGGCGTTGGTCAAGACCACATGATTGTCTCATGTTACTGTTTGTTGAAATAAAAAGACTGCACTGAGAGAAGGCGGGGGAGAGTTGGCTCTCCTAGCTGAGAGTTGGCTCTCCTAGCTGAGAGTTGGCTCTCCTAGCTGAGAGTTGGCTCTCCTAGCTGAGAGTTGGTGCTCCTAGCTGAGAGTTGGCTCTCCTAGCTGAGAGTTGGCTCTCCTAGCTGAGAGTTGGCTCTCCTAGCTGAGAGTTGGTTAAGGAGTTGACATGACATGTCACTCGCTGATTCTCCTTGCAGCAAGTAAACTTGAAACATGAGTCCTGTTATCTTTGTTCACTGGGTTCTGGTAGATTTGAACCGAGCTGGGGTTTACCCTTACAAAGTAATATAGATACACCACATTAATTGGTCCTTCGAGCCGGATTCCAACACATCGTGACGGGAAGGAGGAGGGAAAAGACACGCCGCAAGTCTGTCGACAGCCGGGATCATCAGCCGACCCCGAGAAAGACCCGGGACGCAGAATTCGTGGCCGGGCCGGTGCTTATATGTCCAACCTCCCTCATCCTCGGCACGATTGACGGAATCCAACCGGACCAGTGACCACAGATAACGGGTAAGATAAAAAGTTGATATACATGGTTTCTCCGCCATTTAAGGAGGTTGAGAAAGGTTTCTCCGCCGTTAAGGAGGTTGATAAAACGTTGATAGAGAAAGGCTACTCCGCCGTTAAGGAGGTTGATAAAACGTTGATAGAGAAAGGCTACTCCGCCTAGGAGGAGGATTGACGTGTCTTTGGGTACACTTATGAGTGATTGAGTGAAAGCAGTGTGTAAAAGTGTCACAAAGTGGAATCAGCGCACAGAGTGGAAACCTAACGGTGATAACAAAAACTCTGTGGTCTGTTGAAGTACACTAGTGGTGAATTAGGAATTAGGTTCTGACCGGCACGTTGTCCAGTAGGAACACCAAGCAGTAAGAGAATTAAGCGACAAATTGAGAGCGATAGTGGAAGAACACAAAGCGCAGGAACAAAGAATAAAAAGAAAGCCCCCCTTTTTTCTTCACAGCTTTCCTCTAATTGCTGAAGCAGCAGCCCGAAGTATGACTGCTTGTGCTTCTTCTCAAAATGCCTCAAAAATGGCTGCTGAGCGTTGAATTTAAAACAAGGAGTGAATAATCAACGACTGGTCTGAAGTTGGAGTGAATAACATTGAAAATTAATAGATCAATGTGTCGTAGATATTTAAATAAATAAGAAACTATAATTTGTCGTTTTTAGCATAGTTTTTGTGGGATGCAGTTACGTCACATTGTGGTTTTCATGAGAAGTTTTGAGAACTGATTGTTACTATTGCATTGCATTGTGAATTTTGTGGTATTTGTCATTAGGTAGTTTTTGTAATATCATTAGTAGACATTAATTGTGTTTATGAAGAAAGAGTAAGTAAACAGGAGGGATCTGTTCATGTTTAAACATGACAGAGGTGCTGCACGAGGCTAAAAGCACACTGTTGGCTAAACACAGAGAGGTGACTGATGAGAGAAGCTTGTGCAGGAGCAGCTGCAGGGCACAGAGAGAGAGAGACAGGAGAAGTAGATGTTTTGAAGAGTTCAGAGAGAGTACAACTTATATAAAGTTAACTACTAGTCTGAAGAATGTTATATTGTTTTGTGAGTAAAACATGAAGTAAAAATATATCTACTAGATATAAGAACAACATGCAGCAACCCAGATCAAAGAAAAAAGACATAAGAAAGCGTCAGCATCAGCTTTCTTCATAGGAGAAGATGGGGAAGAAAATCAGATTTTCTTTGTGGGACCAGGACAGGGGAGAGGCGGGTTTAACAGAGGACGAGGGAATGATAGAGGAACAGGCAGAGGCAGAGGAGGAGGCAGAAACGCAGAAGGCAAATTCCTCTGCTACAGGTGCGGAAAGGAGGGGCACATGGCGAGAGACTGTGAGGAACAGAGACCACAGAACAAAGAAGGGGGACAAAAGGGACAGTACAAAGACGAAAGACATGGGCCCCCCCCCTTCACATAACCTACATAGTTATGACAACTGACTAGACGTAGAAAAGGAAGAAGAGGACGTCCACACACATCACATTGACCTTTCTGAAGTATTCAGAATAAACAACAAGATAGTACTCCCTGTTAGTCTCTATTAAACAGCAGCTCATTTGAGTCATGGGCCGTGCCATGTCTCAACAGGAGGGGATGGTGACAATAATAAATGAACACTTCCATACATACAACTACATTACATTTTCTAAAAACTTTTGTAGAGCCTGTGTAGTATGTTGCAGACAATGCTCAAGGCAATGAGCGACCACAGAGAGGAAAGTAGAAACATGCATGAGAATCACACCCACGGCAAAAGGGTTGTCTCCCTTTGAGATCATAACAGGAAGGCAATTCAGACTACCAATCACAGACGAGGTGAGGGAGGAGGATGATGCTGAGGCAGAGACTACATTAGCTGAATGGATGAGCAGACTCTTCAGAAGTAATGAGATAGCTCGAACAAATAACCTGCCAGACATTTCTACTCCCTTACAGGATACTCGAGTGCAGACTGGTGACCAGGTCCTCGTGAAGGTGATTAAGAGGAAGCATTGGCACTGTCCACGGTGGGACGTTCCCTACACGGTACTGCTGACAACACCGACTGCACTAAAAATCGCCGAAAGAACTACGTGGATACATCAGAGCCACTGCAAAAAGATAATACCTCTCCAACTTAACGACGGATAAGTGGTGGAAGTCCGGCTACAAAGGGCGGTGTTTCATTAGGAAATACTGGTCTCAACCCCGGTGAAGAAAACAACAGAACCACTATCACAACTAGACTTTGTTGGGAAAGGTGTTGTGTGTAGTGACCCTGCTGGGTCTGACGCTAATGACTATAAAGACACTGTAACCAGCTAGTAATTATGAAAAACAGGAGGGAATTTTAGAGTTTATTGAAGGATAAATGTGTTTTCATAAACTGTGTTTTCATAATGTATTCTCATTGCTGTGTTACAAGGAGTGTTAATGGAGGAACAAAGAAGAGTCTGTTTAAAATGGCACACATACACACACACACAGATTCACATGACTGACAGTCACAAGATCCACACTAACAAATAAGGTGTTGGTCAAGACCACATGATTGTCTCATGTTACTGTTTGTTGAAATAAAAAGACTGCACTGAGAGGAGGCGGGGGAGAGTTGGCTCTCCTAGCTGAGAGTTGGCTCTCCTAGCTGAGAGTTGGTGCTCCTAGCTGAGAGTTGGCTCTCCTAGCTGAGAGTTGGTACTCCTAGCTGAGAGTTGGTGCTCCTAGCTGAGAGTTGGTGCTCCTAGCTGAGAGTTGGTGCTCCTAGCTGAGTTGGTTAAGGAGTGGACATGGCATATGTCACTCGCCGATTCTCCTAGCTGGGAGTTGGTTAAGGAGTTGACATGACATGTCACTCGCTGATTCTCCTTGCAGCAAGTAAACTTGAAACATGAGTCCTGTTATCTTTGTTCACTGGGTTCTGGTATATTTGAACCGAGCTGGGGTTTACTCTTACAAAGTAATATAGAGATACCCCACAAACCGTTTACCACACAGTCAAATATATTTGTAAAAATCTCAACACATTGGTTCCATTGCGAATGAAGTGCCCTTGTGAAGGCTGAAGAATGTCCTTCAGCTGCTATTTACTCCCAAGACTCAAAGAACAGATTAGTGCTAGGTTACCTGGTAACAGCCTTGGCAACAGTGGTAACCTTGACGACAGGTCCATCCTCCTCTGATAGGGCGGGCTCTGGAGGATAATAAAAAACACAAAATGTATTACTACGAGGTCACATGTGGCAGGATGGAGTATAAAAGCGTGAGGGAGGTTGAGCTCTTACTCTGCAGGCTGAAGCGCTCCGAGCTGCCCTCCTCCACCGGGGTCACCAGCTTCATCCTCAAACTCAGCTTCCCGTCTCCCTTTTCCATCGTGTCATCCCCGCTCTCGCCCGAAACAATGTCACTGGCTGCCATCGCCCCGTCTGCAGAGACATCCCCCACCGCGCCTGACTTTTGAGAAAAGGAAGTGATCTCTGGAGAAAAGGAGAACATAAAGCTCTGCATCAGATCTTGTTACACTACTGGACATTTAGTGAACAAGTTGTTGAGCAGCTCATGTTGACTGAAACAAGAACCCACCAATGGGAGTGCTGTGTCTCAGCGTCTGCTTCAGCTGGCCGATCAGAGGAGGCGTGGCACTGACAACAGGACCTATCAGCTCGCCTTCTTTAGGAAGAGTGAAGTGGAAGGACATTTCTGTCGTAGGAAAATAGAATTTGAATCAGTTTAGGTTTTTTCAGTTCGTTTCTATCAGTAATAATAATGGCTGAGATCTGGGAATTTGGTGATAACATTAAACATGTCAGCAACGTGTAGTCAGACATTACAGATTTTTTATTAAATCCCAAGAAAACAGAATGCATTTTATAGAGAAAACAATTGTGACCAATAAAAGTTTAAACCCAATTTGGCCTATTTTATTTTCCTGCGCAATGAAGGAGATTGACCTAGAGATAAAGTGGCATAGAAGAACTGCAAACACAGAACAGAACAATAGTTGGATAAAACTGATTTTTGGACATCAAGGACATTGATTCTGTTGTCCTGTTGCATCCGAATTGACTACAGGAATTAGATATATAAACCAGTGGTTCCCAACCTTGTTTCCACTACGCTAACATGCTAACTGATACCTCATTCACACCAACGCAACTCCGGTTCAAGCTCCGTGCTAGAGCTTTTCAGGTTCAGAACCGGTTTTTCGGTTTAGCTCCGGCTCTTTTCACATCGCCCAGAGTCCGACTGGTGCTGCGTCATTGCGTCATCGTTTGCGTCATGACGTAACCGTTTGCGTGCCTGCTTCATTAAGCCAAACCGCGCGGAAACCCCTCACAGCTGACACCGACAACAACAACAATGGCCGATTGTGCTCCAGCTTCCTCTGTACCTCTTCGGAAGACCAGATTCCCAGTAGGTAGCTGGTCTCTTCAGTGGACCACTGCTGCTTGTTAAGTTTCTCCATCGTTGTGTACAAGCTGGATAAAACGCGGGCTTCTTGTTGTTGTTCAGGAGTTGATCCCACCCCTGCCCGCCTCGGAAAAAAACGGATTCCGGAGCTAAGAGGCTGTTCCGCTGCGGTGTGAACAGGAAAACCCGGTGCTTTTCAAGCTCCAGCTCCGAACCGGCCCTGAAACACCGTTGGTGTGAATGAGGTAATACAGTATATCTGTGCCCAGCTTACCTCCAGAGCTGTCACTCAGGCTCTTGTCTTTGTGCCCCTCTGCTTCAGGTCCCGCCCTCTCAGTCTGGGAGAGCCTATCAGGAGCCGGGAGCAGCTTCTTCCCCTGAGTCTGGGACTCATGGCCGTTGGTGGAGCAGGACACTTTGCCTCTGGTTGGCTGGGAGCTGTTGGTCTTTGCCTGAAGAGGCTGGGAGTCTCTCTCGCTGTCTGTGACCACGGTGATGCTGTCCTCTCCTCTGTTCTCACTCTCCTCCTCCATGGGCTCAGGAGACAGCAGCTGACTCTGAGAGAGAGCCAGACCTAGTCCAGAGGCCTCGCCTCCCAATGTGCTCTCTTCTTCCCCCTCCATCACCTCCTCTTCTTCTTCCCACTTATTACTCTCCCCCATCACGTCTTTGACTGTTTGACTGTTGCCAGCTGCTACCGACTGCTGTGACAATGATTTTAAAGGCTGACTGTTTGCTTTTGCTCCTGCCTTTCTCGAGTCCACAGAACCCTTCACTCCATCCACAGTCTGAGAGATCATAGACTGTGAGGGAAAACTGCAAGGTGTAGGGTCTGCGGGGGGAGTCTCCTGCACGCAGTTGTTAACCGTCACATCAGAGAGATCGACCTTGGGTTGTGAGCAGGACACCACGTCACTCTTACTGTCTTTTACATTCACATTTTGTACATTCAAAGAAGTCGCTGTCTTTTTGTGCACTTCAGACTTTTGCAACTGACTGGACGGCTCGTTCTTGGCACATGCGCGATGCTTTGGTGATTCGGCAGAGGGGGAAGCTTTTGAGCTGGTGGCAGTTTGTGACTGTGAAGACATACCGTTACTCTCTCTCCTCTGTTGTGAGTCGCTGTCGCAGGGCGGCTCCTTCAGCTCCTCGATTTGTGTTGCCTGGCTATCCTCCTCTATATGTTCTGAGGTCTTCTGAGCCTGGCTGCTGATCTGTGTGTTCACAGAGAGCTGCAAAGGCAACGTGAAAGGAGCTGACTCCAGGGGCTGAGACTGCGTCTGGCGAGGCAACGAGGCTTTCTTCTTATCTGACTGCTGTTGTGACTGGCTCTGTGTAGGGACAAACACGTCCTGAAAATAAAAATAAACACATATCAAGAAATAAAGATCACCATTATAAATAAACCTGCTGATTATTCAAAACGCTTCAGAAATATTAGGAAATAGTGAAATATGTGCAAAGATCTTAAGATATTGCAATATGAACTGATCTTATTTTAATGAAGCTGTAAACTGGTTCAAATGAATATAATAAGTACATACGTGAGAAAACTCTGGCTGGGACGGTAAAGAGAGAGTGCGCTCTAACACAAAACCAGGGGAATTCTGGGAGACAGGAGTAGAGGCCGACGGGTGTGGCTTAGAAGCGGCCTCTGTTTCCATTGGCTCGGCTCGGTCTTCGGGGGGCAGTGAAGTGTCCATCGGCTCATCAGCTGCTGACAAAGGGAATACATTGAAGCTCTATGCTCACCACTTGTTTCCTAAATCAAATCCAGTCATCAAAGTAGGTTTAATCATTTACCGTGTTTATTCTCTGCTTCTGTTGGTGAACTGGGAACTATCAAAAGGTTCTGGGAGAAGTTGTCTTGGGTGGCGGCAACAAAGTCAACAGAGCTCCTGAGGAAAAAGAGCAGATGGTCATTTTCTAAGTTGTGCTTGTGTGGATGCTTAATAATATGAGAGCACTTTGTGACTTTTGACACTATGAACATGACGTGACTCACTGGGACAGAGTCTCCTGCACCAGTGTTCCCTGTCCGGACAGATGCAGCAGCCGCAGGGTCTGGGCCGGTGTGGCCGTGGGGTGACCCTGCTGCTCCGGCTCAGACACCGTGCTGTCCACTGCACCGCCTGGGAGTCGCAGCAAAGAAACAGTGAGACAGAGAAAAGAGACAACAGTCCAACTTTTATCTTGTTTAAGCCATTTCCAACACCACTGTACAATGAAAAACACAAATAACTGAAAACAATACATTTAGTTTGGTGCCACTACATTTTATTACTTGCAAAAAGGGGCAAAAATACTTAATGTATATTTTCCTATGTTGGATGTAGTTAATAACTATATTGAGAGCATATATTAATTGTAACGTCTTTCTTTGAGCTGCCAGCATGGGATCTGCTTTGGCACGTTGCATATTTGTGTCTCTACTGTGACATGTCTGCATGCTTTAACGTTCAAAAAGGTCTTTATTTTTCTCATACCGCCTGTGCTGCAGCAACTCTTTTCACCCTCTGTCTGTTGTGAGTGGTGATCCACTTAGAAATGTCTTGCCCTTTAGCCCATCACATTCAATTTGTTGGAGCACTAGCCAAAGAAGAGTGAGTGGGGGTGGGGGGGTGGGAGCAGTGGCGGTTCTACGGGGGTGGCACGGGGTGGCAGCTGCCACCTCAGAAAAAGGCCTTGCCACCCCAGCTGCCACCCCATTTGGCAGCTTTGTTTTGAAAGAAAAGTTGTGGCATCGGACATTTATGAGAGAAAATCTCTAATGTCCGAGTGCAAGTGAATGCAGCACAAGACGCGAGCCTTGTAACCCCTGGCGCGAGCGTGGAATTATGATTGGCGGCGATTTCATTTGAACGGGGGACAGCTCAAAACGAGAAGCATTTCGGATCCAAGTAGACGGAAGGAATGAAGTATTTGCGGTCAGGGTATGGCTGGGGTAGGCTACAGCCATACCAAGAAATGGCTTAGCCCCACCTTAGCCCCACCATGAAAAATGATGTTAAAGTAAGCAAAATAAAGTCCGCCAACTCGCGCGGGGTAAATTGTAC